GCTTGGTCTAGTCTCTCTGCTGGGCCCTCTGGAAACATAACCCCTACAAAGGAAGGAGGGGAACGAGGCTGATGTCAGTGCAGACAAAGCAATCATGATATCAGTTTATAGTGGTGAAATAGTGTTCTTGAATATCCTACCTGGTATCTTGGGAGCTTCCATTCCCCAGCTTCAGACCAAAATAACCACTGCTGGTATCCCTGCTCACTGCTGACAGGGCTGCTGTAAGGAGACCAAGGTAGTGCCACAGCTTGCAGGGAGAGTGAGCAAGCACTTCCAGTTCTGCCTGCAGGTGCTGACAGAAGGTGTCTCTGAAGAGATCCAACATTAATCACCCTCCTCTGTACTACTCTCAAAGAAAGAGCAGGTCATGTACTGACTGGATAAGATCATGTCCTTTTAGCTGACTGCCAGTTCTTCCTCTTCCAACAGACCATTGCTTACCACTCTTGCAGTCTGCTCCAGCCAGGGATGCTGTTTAATACTATTTTCCCCCTTTTCCTTGTGTTGGTCCTGGGATTGCCACAGCATTAGAGATGCTGCAAACCCTAGGCATTTCAAATGCATAAACCAGGTGCTGTCCCTACACATATGCACAGCCTAGCTGGGTTTTTGCACTAATGTTTTCCACTTGCCTGCTGGTGGACAGGTTTTTGGAAGTGTCACTTACCTGATTTTTTTCCAATATTAAATGAGAGACTGTCACATAAACATGATTCCAGGAGCTGGGGCTTTAACAAAAAGCTGCACAGCACAGGCCCTAGGTTGGCAGCTCTGGAAAATCCCTACATAAATATATTTGACAGTGGGAACACATTATCTTTTGATCTTAGGATCATGAAGGCACTTGTTCTTTGCAAATTCCTTCCACAGCTCGAGCAGAAAGAACAGCATGGTGTAACAGGAAATGCTGGAGAATTTGGATTATCCAAATGCCCTTTATAAGGCTACTGCTCTTGTAATATTTGTCTGTAGACTCTTGGGTTATTCACCTTCTGTGCAATTCTCCACAGATTGGGATTTTTCTAATCTTCAGACACCAGCTTCTGCACCGATTTCTCTATTTAACTGTTATAAACTCTGTTATAGTCAGTAACCTCTATATATCTGAGAGCTCCTGGAGATGTCCCAACACTTTTGAAAGCTTGACTTTTGGTCTCGGTGTTACTACACAGCAGAAAACCTACCTGGTGGCCAAAAGTAGGACAAAAGCTCCTATGTGGATTCTGTGCTGGAATGTGTGTTGCAGTTCTTGGAGTCAAGGCACTTATGTCATGTCAGTCTCTCTTCTCCGTGTAGCTGCCCTGTTTTCTCAACACTTGCAGGAAGATAAGGATCCTTGAGGCCTCCATCACTGCCAAGCTGAATTCAGCTTGGATGGCACATTCAGATACAACATGCCCATGTGCATGTTGAGTATATAATTGAGACACCTTACTTTCTTAGGAGACCAGAGTTAAAAAGAAAACCCAACCAAACTGTAAATTACTTCCCTTCATTTAATTCTTGATTAATGCTTAAATGTTTCCTCAACGCATGTTGTGATGTGATCTCAATTTGGAGCCTATTTGACCTGAGAATATAACCCCCTTAGCCTAAACCTTCTGCCTCAGTCTTTCACTGACTATTTATGTGCACATCTGGAACCCTCTCCCACTCATGGCCTCTGAATGGTGGGCTGCCATGTGTATTTAATGCTGATATAACTGTTCCCCATGGTTTGATATACAGACTAAAGTAAATTTTTCTTTGCTAAAATCCACACTTTTGCCATGGGAAAGACTATTTGCACAAGTCCTGTTATGTGGTTTGAATGAGATTGCAACAAAGGGAGATTAGCTAATTACTCCAGGGTCATTTTTCCTTTGGTGTGTGGGAAAGCTTCATGGCTAGCATCCAAATATATTGGCCAGAAAGCTGTGGGAGAGCAGCCTCATCACTCCACACCTGAACATCTTGAGCTACCCCACTGATTTCAAATGACTTGTAACTCATGAAGGCATTTGGATCCACACCACTCTTCTCTGAGGGATTCTATGCTCTGTTTGATGCCATAAATAGCATTTGAATGCCGTGAAGTGAGATGACTCCCATCTGTCAGTCTGGGAAGGCTAGCCAGCTGCCTAAGGAAGTCTGGAGACAAAAAAGTGATTTAAAGAAAAATCTGTAGGGGGATTTAAGTCATACTTTTTTCTAATGAGTGCTTATCTTGTAACTGTATCTCTATCAAACAAACGCTGTGAGATGTTTGTAGGGCAGTAAAAGCTCACGTCATTGCTGTAGAAATCAGTGCCTGTTTAGAGTGGGAGTGGGAACTAGTTGTGTTAATTAGAGCTGGGACCCATGGACCCAGCATGCTGAGAAGTGCCCCTTTCATCCTGTGCCATTGGCTGTTAGCCCTGTATTGAAGCCGTGCCCAGTCTCTATGGCTGGCTGAAACATTTCAAAAATTATGTTTTGGTGCCATCTCTTAGCCCTTGATATCTTAGCCACCTCTGTGGCTGTTACTCCTTTCTTATGCCTGTTCTAGTGAGGCCCCATAGTACTTTCTCTTTGCTTTAGTCAAGCATCTTCTCTGGGGAGAAATAAGCCCTGGATGTTGTTATCTCTGCCACAAGGCTGCTAATTCCCAGCCTGCTGAACAGATGATGTGGCTTAGAAATGTCCTCATTTTTGTTAGCACTGCCTGCGATTAAGAAGAGTCTTAGCTTAAGTCTTATTTAACTTGGATTTTCCCCTTTTCTTATTAGATTCTAGCCCATGTGTCTAAGTATACACTATTACTGCTGGAAGCCTCCAGTTTGCAGCAAATGCAGAACATCTGGGTGATAGTTTGTACTTCCAACACTGAAGAAGTTGCTGAAAGTTAGCTGTCACTGCCTGTGGACAATCTTTTGTATTAGCAGTGGTCATCTTCATACCTTTGTTGTGGATTTTCTCGTCCAGAAATTCCAAAGTTGTTCATCAAAGACAGCTGTGAACCCTGGTCTTAGCTGAAGGAGCAGAGATGCTCAGAGCACTTGGAGTAATGACAAATCCCTTCTTTTTGGGTTATCTTATTTAAAGGAAGCCAAACGGATGTCACTGAGAAGTGCTCCTCTTTCTGCCCCTCATCTTCACTTTTCCATGGAAATCAACCACGGTCTCAGGAATTGCAGGGAATGTTTAGAATCTCTAGTCTTGCATGAGAAGGTTGGTGGTGTAGCTTACTGCAGGCTTGCAGGAGCTCCCAGGTGTGTGGCACTTTGAGCTAATAGCTCTGGCAGTGTTTCTGAACTCTTCTGTTCCCAATATGTCAACTCTGAAATGTTCTGAAGGTCGTCCTGAAACTATCCAGGATGGGCTCTCAGGCCATGTGGAGGATGCTCACTTGCTTTGGTGGTTGTGATCACCTGTTCCTCAGCTGAGGCCACACATGAAGGCCACCACTGCAGTGGCTATGGGCTGCCCTGTCACATCCACCTGCATGCCTGAGCATCTCTGATTGTTGCCTCTGCTCCTTTGCATGCAGGAAATAAAGCACATAGGAAGTGCACACAATCGGAGTGCAGTGCCCTTCACTGCTGCCACAGCTTCTGCCCCCAGGGTGATCACTGCTCAGTACAACAGCCCAGCAGGCCTCTACTCCTCAGAGAACATCCAGACCTTCAACAGTGCGGTGGAGACAAAAACATCACCTGGGGCCCTGGAGCCTACCAAGCCGTAAGTACCTCCCTCACCTCCCCTCCCTGTCCAGGACACACGAGTTCACTGTGAAGGTACCGGGTTGTTAAACCAAGAGAAGCTCTCTTTCAGAACAATGGAAGTAGAAGAGGCACAAGCGTGGATGTTGTTCCCAGGGACAGGGCTTGGAGGGGAATGTTTCATGAGGTGCAGACATGAAATTAATGCTGCTGTGTTTCTTTGTTTAGCAGAGACCGACGCAGTTTCCGTGTGCGTTCAGCATGACATACCAGCCCGCTGGTCTGAACAGGTGCCTGATAGCTTGTTACAAGCACTTCCTAAAGTTAGTGTTTTGTGCCAGCTTCACTGCAACACTGGGCAGGAAAGGCACCAGCTAGTGCAGGAAGCACACCCATCCCTGTTCCTAGCCTGGGATTCATAGACAGGCTCTATTTGGATATTTCTGTGTTTTATTATCAAACTTTGCTTTTCACAGGAGTTTTAAAAAGTAGCTGAAACATTCATTCCTGTCTGAGGGGTTTTATGTACAAGATTGGAAAGGGTCCCAAACTTAAAAGGGCGTGTTCATCTTTGTGTTTGCAACTGAGACTCACCAAAGGCATTATTTTATCCTAGATTTTCAAAGTTCCCCTTTTTTCCATAGAAGGTAATAAAGGAGCTATCTGGAAGTTTTCTGGCTGTGACGGTCAGGTTGCTTAACTGCTTTAAGTCTCTGCATAGCAATATCAAGCTGCCTAAGAAGGCTTTGGCTATTTTGATAATAAAAGCTGGAAGACCAGTGCTTTTGGTAATACTTGACTAAATTTCTTATTTGAGAATGGGGAGGCAAAAGTAACTTCAGCCTCTGCTGTTGCAGGGTACAAAGACCTGATTGTGGTTTAACACAAGCCTGACAGCTTGCCCATGAGTGAAATCAGCTCCTTTCACTGGCAGCCCAGACTGCAGCACGGTCCCTTCTATGCAGTTACAGTGTTGCAGCTGGCAGATGAGGTGACAGATTGTTCTTCATTTGCTTCTGGTAGACTCAGCAGTCTCATTCAGGAGCTGGGCAAGGACAAGGAAAATCTGACTTTGCATTAACCTGACAGGACCATCTGGCAGTGAGATAACATTGCTGGTCTAGTGTGGCGTCCCCTCCATGTGAGAGCTCTCCCTGGAAGCCAGGTAGTTTTGGCTGGAAAATTGTAGCTGATCCCTTTCTCCTGCAGGGACCAGGAAAGAGGTGGGTTCCTTCTAGAGCTGTGGCTCTCTCTGCTCCTCCTAGCAGGAACATCCATCGCCAGCCCTGCTCCATCTTGGATATATGGCATCTCTTTCATCTTTTCCTTGCTGGAACAACAGCAAGTTGTGAAGGAATGCTGGGAAAACTGTGGATGAGGCTTTGATGCCAATATGCTTTTGTTTAGAGAGTCATCAAAAGCAAATGAATTACTGCTGGTTTTCAGTGAGAGCCAGGGACCTCAGCCTGCCATTATAAACCTACCTTAGTCTCCCCAGTGCACAAACACAGGATGTCGAGGTTCTCCCTTCACACACCCTCCAGCTGCCCTTAAATTCCTGCCCATCTGTTTTGCTGAGTTATTTGGTACATGCCTGACCTTGCTCTGGGTTTATTGACATTTATCTGCATCCCCATCCCCACCCTGCAGATACACAGCCTATATGAACCCAGCACTTGATCCTGCCACTGCACATGGTGATGTGACTGGAGAGCTAGTCCATGCTTCATCCGTAGAGGGTGTGTGGTATAAATGCAGGGCTGTAGTACATATAGAAATAAAAGCAAATATCTCCACTGGATGTGATGTCACAAAGCAGGTGGGGATGGAGAAGCCCTATTGCTGAGCACATCTGGTTTGGCATGGGAGGTGAGATTACTCCTCAGTAGGATGCCAAGGCTAGCTTTGAGAAGAGCAGTAGTGAAGATGGCATTTTTTGTCTGGACAGTGGGACCGCAAGTGTGTGCACAGGGAGTTAGTGTATAATGAACCCCCTTCTGCCACTTCTTCATTGCTTTTACAGCCCATATATTTGCTTATCAGTGGAGTGCTTGCTTTTTAGTTTTTGTGTGGACACACCTGGAGTGTGAGACCAGAGGCATAGCATTAGCCAGAAACCTGTAAAGTTGTGTATCCAGTGGTGTGTCTTTCAGACAGTATTCTGCAGCTGCTTGATGGCTTGAAGTATTTGGCTTTGTCCTTCATTAATTTCTTTCTTCTTTCTTCCTCCTCTGCAATTTCCCCTCAATTTGGCAATGTAAACCCCAAACAAACCTTAAACAACTGCACCTCCCACTGCCCATGTGGATGCGTGGGCTGGCAGCCGCCCATCGCCGGTGGGTGCGATGCAGGCTCCCATCGCCTCCGTGTATGACCCTCTGCAGAGCTCCGAGCTGCGGCGCAGGCACAGCACCTCCTCCAGCCCCAGCCAGGTCCGAGTGGGGCCTGAGCAGCTGAAGCACGTGGCCCAGGTCTGCCCCAACAGCCCTGTGGAAGTGGAGGTGCCGGGACTCAAAGTGCTGCATGTGCAGTTCAATTCTCCCCTGCAGCTCTATTCGCAGAGCAACATCATGGACACCCTGCAGGGGCAGATCTCTTCTGTTAGCCCTGATTTCCCCAGGTAACCTCCCCACAGCCTCTGCAGCCAGCTCAGCACATCTGCTCGTCTGCATTTCGGTGTCCACGAGTCCTCATCACCGTCCATGGCTCATGGCATTGTCCAGTCACAAAAACAGCATTTACATTTCAGTTGTCCAATGTCAGTGCATGAGTCTTCAAAGGAGCTTTCTCTGCCTTGTGTCTGTGCCCAGCACCATGGCAAACACCAAAACAAGTTTTTAGTGTGTCAGTATGTCCATTGCCCCCTGCACACTCACACAGCAGGACCTGACAGCAGCTGCTGGCTTTTCTGGAGGAGCCATCTGCAGCACCTGGGTTTGCTGAGGGTAGGGAAGTGCTTTAGCCTGAAAGCTGGTATTTTTCCTGCACTTGAAATTACTTTTGTTGTTTGTGACTGACAGGTGCTGCCAGTCTTTGTTCTTTTGTTTCATTGGCCATGCATGTGTGCTGAGCATTTCAGGCTGAAGCAGGTACCTGTGCTCTCCAGCTGATAACACTCAGTTTTGATAACTGTTATCATAACAGTTGGATTAACTTGGAGCAGCCTGGCAGGCACCAGGCACATGGAGGGGACAGTCTGTGTTCCCACCCCTGCCCACTTTTCTGTAGAGGTTGCTGCAGCACAGGCTTCCTCTGCCCAAAGGAGTGGAGGATGCTCAGCATGCTCTGAGGTCTGCAGGACCTGTGGTGAGCCTCAGCATCACAAGGCCTGGGTGCTGTTTGATGTCTTCTTTGTGGTACTTGGAAACTCCCTGGCCTGTGTCTCCACGTGACAGCCTCTGAGTCTCTGGGTTTTACAGGGAAGGCTTTAGTGTCAGGACAGGTGAAAGGAGAAGGCACTTTTATCTGTCTCACAGGAGTCCAGTCAAGGATGAATTGTGAACCTTCTGCTATGCGACCAAGCAGTTTGCAGCTGTGTGACATGTGGCTCAGGACAGTGGTCAGTCCAAGGGCTTCCATGGGGCAGGAAAGGACACAGCCAGATCTCATGGCTCCTGGACAGTTCCCTTCTGGGAACCACATACTTCAAAGCAGAAAAGCTGCCGTCCTCACCCCTGGACCCACACAGACAAACTTTGCCATGTACCAGGAGCCGAGAGATAGTGGGAGGCTGAGGATTTACTCCTGCCTTGTTACTCAGTGCAGTTACTTGCTCTAAGTCAATGCTCTGGCTTGTAGTCAGTACCATGCACACCAGAAGGAGTCACACTGCCAGCTCTCTGTGCTGGCCTGGTGAGCTGATAGTGCTCACAAAGGAGCCCCAGACATCAGCAATTGTTTAATGGCAAAAGGGAGTGCTGCAAGCACTGGGCCTTCCTGTAGCCTTGAGACCCTTGTAAGCTTTGCAAAGCAGGCTGGCATAAAATAGTAAAATACCATTAGTAAAAAATAAGCTCTGCTTTTTGAAGATTCTGTGCAAGGCTGTGTCTTCATGATTTTTATTACTATCTTCTTGCCAATATTTAAGGCTCAGTGACCCAGTATTAGTCAGTCAGTGTTGCAAGTTGCCATCAATGAGATCCAGTAATGGTTGTGTAAGTCTAAGATCTGATGAATGTTGTTGGGGTTGTTCCTTACAAAGTTTCTTCATGAGGGAACTCATGTGCATGGAAAAGGACACCAGTTGCTGATGATTGCTGCAGATAAAGTACCTGTGCAGCAGGAAGTGCCAAATATCAGCTGGCATACAGAGACTCAGTATCTTGCAAGAACAATTTCTGTGCCTGTGGCATTACCCTTTCAGAAGATACACATGCATTTTGGAGATGCTTTTTAATTTAAGCAGCATAGCCTTCTGCCCTGGCTGTTTGAGGTGTTTTACTCTGCTGGTACAAAGCTGGGTTTGATGATTTTTATAGCCATTTGGAAATCTTGTCTATGCAAGTGGACATAAAGGTTGCATACCTGGGAGAGCTGATCTGTATGTTTCACGCTGCCACAATGCATGGTTGAAATGTGATGGCTTTGTTTTACTCCAATGCTTTTTAAGATGATTTAGCCTCTGCTTTTTGGATGCATGTTATCGAAACATTCTTAGTGTGCAAACTGCAATGAAAGGCCTCTTGCATAATGTTTTTACGGGTGGATAGAGCAGTGGGAGTGTATGTGTTTACATGAGATGAATGTAATGTGCAGCATGGGACATCTTCTGTCTAATAGAAGGCACATAATTATTTTATTTTGGGTGAGAAGTTTCAGTAACTGAGATTCAGGCTTCAAAGGCTTCAACTGTTTGTATGTCGAATGTGCTTCCTGCTCCACTGAAAATTGCTAAAGATGGAAACATTTTATGAAATTCTTTTTATGGAAATAGCATTTTATTACTCATGTGATGATTTTACTTCTGATGCTTGAGGAGTTTATTATGTAGAGTAACTCCCAGATGACTCAATCGGTCATTGGCCTGGAAAGTATGCAGTTGTTTCCTCAAGAAAAAGATTCTCCTCTGCCATTTAGTCTGAACCTCAGGATGTTTATGCACTTTTTATGCAATCACAGGGTGCAAGAATGGTGAAACTGAGTAGACCATTTACATATATAAGACTACATTATAGAATTGAGCTATTAGAGGAAATTTGTCAGCTATTTCATTTTATGGATGTTTTATATATGTTTCACTGCAACTACAGAACACCTGGCAGGCAGGAACTTCCTGTGTCCTTTAGTCCATCCCTTAGTCCAGCATTTGGCAATTTAAACCACTGATTTAAGTAATTTCCACTGTATATTTTCCCAGACTATTTTCAAATCCTTTGCTTTGGAGGTTCCTCCTGACAGCAGTGTGGGCAGACAGCCCAGCGTGCCAGTCCCACCCGGAGCACATCCAGCACCTCTGTGTCCGTGGGCTCCTGTCATGCGTGTGCTTTGCACGTTCATTCTTCAGTCAAACGATCATCATTTTGCTAGAGGGATTTGCTTTATTTTCCTCTGTTTAACAAGAGGATTCTCTGTTCCTTCTTCAGTTTAGATCAGCATAACCAGACCCCAGGCAACATTGCCATAGACAGACAATCTGAGGTTTACAAGATGCTGCAGGAGAATCAAGAGTCAAATGAGCCACCCAGACAGTCTGCTTCATTTCTTGTGTTGCAAGAGATCTTGGAGTCAGAGGAGAAAGGTGAGTACTTACTGCACACCTCATCTGAGTGTACTCTTTCCCTCTGCTGTTCTTTGGGCTGAGTAACATTTAAAACTTTATTTTCCATTTAGCTGTTGATTGTTCAAGATGTGTAGGTAACCTCTACAGAAACCTGTAGACCCTGTCACTAATTTGATTCCTTCATATTCTCTCATTGATTAGTTTTAGTATCTGTAGGCTCATATAATCTCTTAATCATTGAGTGAGTGCTCCAGAAAGAAACCCTTGTAACATTTAGTTATCAAGAAGAAATTTTTAAAGTTACAAAACCTATAGTTTCTAAAGTTTTTCCCCCTTAAGGTAGTATTCACTGATTAAAGACCATCTTAGATTCAAGACTTTGGATGGTATCACAAAATAGTGCTGTTCAGTGAGTCCTAGCGCTGCTGAACACCATCCCCCTACACAAGAAAAAATATCCCCTTCTGCAGCTGAATGTAAAAATATAGAAGCTGGGTTACAGTGAGCAGTTCATAGCTTTTAGCCTCTGAAAATTCACTCTTCTTGGTATTCTTGGTCTGACATCTGGACTTGTACAATTCATAGCTATACAGCTTAAGATAAAAAAGCCAATTAACTTATTTGGGGGCTAAATCATGCTCTCTTCTCCCCTTAAATAAAATTAAATAAATAAATGGGAAAAGAATTCAAAGAATGACCCTTTTTTTGTCCTTAGGCCAGCCTTTTGTGTTATTAGCTTGGCAGTGGTACGTTCAGTTTAATCCAAAAAAAACCTGGTGGTGAGATATTCACCAGAAAGAGAAACAGATTAGCTAAGTGCTGGTAGGTCTGAGGGATCTGTAGGGAAACAGCAAAATTAAGGAAATAAGGAAACAATAGGAAGAAAGAAACCAGGATCATGGAGTTTTTAATATGCTATTAAAATACCTACCTGAAAGAATCTTTTAAATACTGAGTGTTTGCAGCTTGCCCTCCAGGGTTCAGCTCCTGCATGGAAGGAGTAGCCCAGACTTCTCAGGAAGCCGAGGTCCTCCCCTGTGCTTAGTAGTGGTGAAGAAGATAAGAAGCAAAAGCCTCTCTGTTTTATCTTTCTTTGAAGATTTGCAGCATTGTCGGGATTCTCTGGCACAAGGTTTGCCTGCCCGATCATGGGCCGGGATAGGCTCTGGCAATGTTGCACAGTGAGCTGATAATGTCCCACGGCCCAGCCTGCCGTGCTACTCGGCCAGCATCAAATACACACTGCTGCGATCAGATTGTTCCGTGTGATAAATGGCACATTGGACGGCGTCTTCTCCCAGCCTGGCTCCAGGCAATGGCTTGTGAAAGGCAGCTTGAGCCATCGCCCCAGCTGCGGACAAGGCCCCTGGGGCATCGCTGACTCTGGGCTGTGCTTACACCAGCTGAGAGCCTGGGCCAGGCACAGCGGGTTTGGAAGCACCACAACTGGTCCTTTAAGACCTGACCCTGTACTCAGAAGTGGAGAGGGTTCCACTGGTGGAACATACCAGTTCCTGTGGGTGTTTGATTAGGAGAGATGTAAAAATGTTTTGTCAGTGTTGCTGATAAGAGCAAAGTGCTGGTTGAGGCAAAGGGAGCGAACAGAAGTGATAGGGAAGAGTCTGAAAATGTGATTGCTGCTGCTTGCTTCCCAGTGAAGGTCACTTGCAACTACTCTCGGAGGCAGGTGGCTCTTGCTGTGTTTGGAGGGCTAGGATACTTTCACCTCTGGACCAGCATCTGCACAGAGCTGGGTGCAAACCTCTGAGCTGAAGGCTGCCCTAAAGGCAGACCAGTGCAGCATCATCTGCCCCATAGCTGACGTACGCAGATCCCCCCTTTTTTCTTCAGCTCTTCTAACAGTGATGCTGCCTGGGGCTGTGGTGAGACCCTGACATTGCTGGTCACCAGGGTGTGTCTTTGGAGGGTTTTTCCACCCCTTGCACTGGGAATGTCTATTGTAAGTGTGCTCTTGGTTTGACACTGGTCAGAAGGGTTCCATCATTGTCCCTCACAGCCCAAGGTGTTTCTGGTGCAATATCATGGGAGTCTCAGCAGCCTCCTTCTCTTGTTAACTGGTGTAGAACCCCTTGGAAAAGTCATATATATAAGATTAGTCCCATCATTGGTGTCATTTTATAAAAGGCTCCTTTTTCCCTGCAGATATTTAAAGGCTTGCCTCGTATCCTGCATCTAGGATCCACTGCTGGTTTAGGCATCCAGGTCAGCACAATGTCTCCTGCAAAAGCCCTGCAGGAATTCCCTGCCCTAGAGAAGTTGCAATAGGGAGACACCTGGAGCATGCTATGCAACAGTCAAGGTTATCCCCAGTGTCCCAGGGCTCTGCAATAAGGAGTTTGTTAACTACATCTTCCAGGAGTCTTGGGGGAACCAGCTCAGCTGTAAAACAGACAGCAGACTGGAAAAGGGCTTCAACAGTCCTCCCAAACCTGCCAGAACACCCATCTCTTTCTGAGTTCAGATCTGGGAATCAGCTTGACCCTGAGTGTGTGATCAGGACACATCAGGCAGACTCCAGTGCTGCCAAGGCTGGGGCTTTGCTTTGCTTTGTGCATCTCTGCATGTGAGACACATCAGCTGAAGTCTGATGGGCTTCTAAGATGAGAAAATACTCTCATCTGATGGCCCACCATCTCAAGCCCTCACATTTCCAGGGTGAGGTTCAGCTAGCTGTGTCCCTCCTCGCTCCCTACACATCCCTAAATCTCTGCCCACTTTCCATGCATGAATCCCTGCCTCAGAGCTGGGGTTAAAGAATATCAGGCCCCCAGCAGAGCATCTGTTTGGGAGGAACAGCCTCAAGCCACGCATCTCACATGCTCTGAAGCACTCTCCTTCCACCCCCAGGAGACCCTTCCAAGCCATCTGGATTTAGGAGTGTCAAAGCCCCTACCACAAAGGTGGCCTCATCGATTGGGAATGCCCAGAAGCTGCCCATGTGCGACAAGTGTGGATCTGGCATTGTGTAAGTAAGCCTGTCCCTGGGGTTGCAGGTGAGCAGCCTGTGCTGAGGTACTGCACCCAAACAATTTCACTTACCCACATCCAGTGCATTCAGGAGACTCAAGGCATCAGCTTTAATAATGCTAACTCTGCAGTTCCCTGCCATGAGGCAGGGGTTGGGTGTCCATCTACAGATCCGTATCAGTGGAAACCAGAGCAAGTCTCTGAGTCAAACCTTGAGGCAGTTGTTGCTGCAGCATTTTTCTTACCTGAAATACATTTACAGCATTTGGAAACAAAAGAACCTTTACATTCAGGGCCTGTGGTTTAATGCATTTCTTGTCTTGGTGCTCCCAGGCATGGCATGGAGACTTGCCTTGGTGCTCAGAGGCAATGGGGACTGCAGAGCTGTGTTCTGCTCCCCACTCTCCTGTTGGACCTCACACCTCCACTGTGTCTATGCAGACTTTTTTTTTGTCTTTATGTGGGTAAAATCCAACTCCAGCAGACCTGGGGTTTGGGTTTGATGCAGAGCTGCTGTAATGTAAGTGTGATCACATGGGGGACCCAGCATTGAAAACCTATGCCTTCAAGTTGCTCAGTTTTTCAACCTTAAATTCTTCCCTGCAGCCCCCTTAACTTAAGAGTTGACTATGCAGCAGTCAAGTACTGGTAGCCAAACCTGTCTTGTCATGGAAGAATTCTGATTTTTCAGATGCTGCCCGCCACAGGCTATCACACTGTTGCTGAGACCCACCACACTGTGATTGCATGGTCCTGGCATGCCTGGAACATCTGGACCAGTAGATTCATTACAGAGGCAATTCATACCCTGTAAAATATGAATCAGAGACAAACCCTGTAATTATTCAACCAGCTGGGTAGGTCTGGAGAGAAAGCACAAGGCCTTGAATGGCACTCAAAACTAATGAATTACAGAAAATCGAGATGGCTGCTGGAACAAAATAATACTGGAAAATTGTTGTGTTGAGGCTGATGGTAGTTAACAAATTGCTGTGTAGTTTTTGTAGTTTTCCTAGTCACCTGTTGGGTTAGGCTGTGAAGTCTTCCATTAAGAGCTGGCCCACATTTGTCTGGATCTGATCACTGCAGCTCCCAAGCAGCCATGTCTGAGATGAAAACCAGGATCCGGTCTCTGTGCTTCTCCCACGTCAGTCACTAGCATAAGGGCAGTACTGGCTGTGCAGCCTTCATCCCTGCATTTGTTGCCAGTTGGCTTGTACGTGGATTTTGCTTCCCCAGATGGTAAAGTTACTGCCTGCCATTTGATCCTGGGCATTTAAATGCTGTTGTGCTGTCTGCAGCCACCAGCTAAAGATGCCATCACAGTCATTCTTGCCACCACAGGTGATAGGACTGTCCCTGTGTAATGTGCACAGGTCAGTGCTGGGAAACACTTTCTAGAGGAGAGTTGCCATGCTATGTTGGGCTTCTAAAGTGCTGTTAACACCTGCCTGACTAGAGGTAGGGCCTATACTTCAGTTTGTCAGGAGCAGAAGAAAACTGTTCACCTTTGGGACTGGTTTGTGTCTGGGCTGGGTGGGAGGTGGCTGGGGAGGAGGGAGGCAGTGGTGGGCACTGAGGAGTGCTGGTTCCTCCCCAGAGGGATGTTCGTGAAGATCCGGGACAAGCAGCGTCACCCCGAGTGCTACGTGTGCAGCGACTGTGGCACCAATCTCAAGCAGAAAGGACACTTCTTTGTGGAAGACCAAATCTACTGCGAGAAGCACGCACGGGAACGGGTGATTCCCCCGGAGGGCTACGAGGTGGTCACTGTCTTCCCAAAGTAAACCATGCTGCTCACAAAGCAAGCGTGGGTGATTTATCCTCTGCTTCTTTTCCTTGGAGAGCATTTTCCCTACCCCCTGCAGAATCTTGTTTGCAATAAGGAATGCTAGGCATGGCTTTGAATTTCCTTGTCATTATTAATCCTCCATCTGTTCACATGAGATGTCACTAATTGTTCAACATTCTTCTCATCCTCTCTTTCACTTTTTTTTTAATACACAGATTTATTTTTTTTTCTTTCATTGTGCTGTCAATCACACAGGAAAATCAGAGGCCAAAGTCAGATTACAACTTTTCTGTGTTCTAGTTATTTTGCCATCTGTTTGCCTTCAATAAATGGGGTGAATCCACAAGGCAGAAGTGGGTTTTTTCTGCTGTTTTCCTTGTGCACTGGATTGTGGTTCCCTGGGCAGCAGAAGAGGTGCCCAGTGCATGGCAGGGTTTATCCTGGAGAATAGTGGGAGGCATTTACAAAGTTGAGTCAGGCTGGTTTTGCTGCCAGCTGAGCTGTGAGCAGCTGCCTGCTGGCACCCAGCCCACAGTCCCAAACTGAACTTTATGAGAAAAATAATTGTGTGATGCTTGCTGGAAACCGGGGAACCTGAGAGTGAAGAGGGGAAGGTTTGAGCAGCCACAGTCTCTGTTCTGGCCCCCCTGGGGGGAACCACATGTGGCTGCTCAAGGCATCACCCTGCTCCTAGTGCTGCTGCTGTGCACAGCTGCTGGAGGGTGCCTTTGGGGGGTGACATGGGGAGGGGGGCAACGTGCCTCTTGTGCCCTGGACAAAGGGCTAATGGTGCCTGAAGAGCAGAACCTCGACCTGTGTAAAGCAGAGAGGAGGCCTGCAGTGGTTATTTCTCTCACATCTCTAAATGAGATCTCTAAATGAGATGCTGGCTGTTCTTAATCATGTAAAAATAAACCGTTTCTAATATGTGACATCTTTCCTTTAAAATGAATTGCTGGTGGTTGAAATCAGCAGGGTGGATTTCTAACTGCACACAAGCCCTGTGTGCACAGGGCCCCTGGAGTTAGTGGGCAACAGCTACAGACAGGGTCATGTCCCTGCCGTGGAAAGTCCTGTCTGTGTTCAGCAATGCTGTACTGCTGCGCCCTGTTTCCTTTCCTTCACAATGAATCACAACACAGCACAGCTGCATTGTAAACAAACCCAAAAAAACCCCAAGAAACCAAAACAGCCAAGCTCAAATCACAAGCCCAAACCAAATCCTTATGTGAGGAAAAGCTGACCTGACACCAAGGCTATAAGCTTTCTGCTGCTCAGATAAACTGTGCAGCTTTTGGGCAAGTTGGGCAGGGGACTAATTCACCAACCGAGCTGAATTTAGTTCATACCCTCAGGCTCCCTCTATGGGCAGAGACAAGCGAGGCTGCCATAGCTCAACCAGCAAACTTCGGATCATCTCTGGGAAAAGCGTGGCTTCTCTGGGCTGCTGGCACACATCAGCACGAACTCCAGATAGTAACACAAACAGCTCTTTTTCAAGGTGAGAGTGGAGGGATTTTTTTTCCTGCTGGGATGGTGTCTCCCCACACTACTGGGGTTAATCCTCTCCTCTCCACAGCACACTTCCATAAAAAAATGTTGGCAGGAGGGACTGCACAATAGGCCATTGCGTTAGTGGGAAGCAGAGACCTGCAGGGGTGGAGTGACCATGTAGGCACCAAGTGCTCTGGCAGTATTGTGAACCAAGTCTCCTCCCCCGTGGTGGGACTGTGGCTGCTCCACACCACCTGCTTTCTCAGCAGGCTGGGGGCTCGGGGCTCCCCCAGGAAAATGCCAGCTGCTGAGGCCATCTGGAGTACTGTGTCCAGCCCCAGTGGACCTGGGATCAGCCCTCCAGTGCCTACAAAGTCACTACATGATTTTGTACATAAACATCTGTCAGCAAAAACAGTGCTTATTCCAGAAAACATCTTGATTTTGGGGGCAAAGGCATTAGAGCCTGACCCACTCCTGACATTTCCCTGCCCTCCCACCCAGTGCTGCGCTGCAAACGGGTGACAAGCCCTGCTTTGTGCAGGGCCACGTGCTCTGCCCGAGCTCCTGCAGCCAGGCTGGCAGCACAGCTGGGAAAACTGACTGCAAGGGGCTTGACACAGGAGTTGGGGACTAGAAAAGATTTGTGGAGTAGTCTGGAAGTGTAGCTTTCTAATGTGGATACCAGAGTTGATCCAATTTATTCACGAGGGAATGGGTTAGGTGAGGAAGTTCCTATTTGTTATTGAGGACTTTGATCACTCTGCTGTGGCTGGCCGAGAAAAGGAACGTATTTATCTTTTATGATGCAAGGCAAAATATTTGACAACTGCAGTGTTCACTGTAGTCTGACTTTCCAGATTCTTCAGGAGTTAAACAGTTGGCATCTGCAATCTGTCAACAGTAACAAAATAGGTTAAACAGTGTCACTCATGCCTTGCAACCACACTGAGCTGCCTGCTTTAGAAGTTATCAATAATGTAAGAGCACATAGAAGGTTCCAATGTGAAGTGTGTTGGGCAGTTTGAGTGGGTGAGTGTCCTGCCAGAGGGACTCTCATGAAGATGGGCAGAGCAGCACAAAGCACAATCTGTCACTTTTAACAATTACTTTGATTTTGCACCATATTGAAGGTTAAGCAAGGTAGATCAGTCTTCAAAAGTTATGTAGGCAGTGTGGGAGCAGCTGTCACTTATTATTAAGTCTTTAACAAGATTAGGTTGACATACAGACAGTTTAATAGGGAAAGCAAAAGCCACACACACAAGCAAAGCAAAACAAGGAATTAATTCACTGCTTCCCATGGGCAGGCAGGTGTTCAGCCATCTCCAGGAGATCAGGGCCCCATCGTGCACAATGGTTATTTGGGAAGACAAACAGCATCACTCCAAACATCTCCCCTTCCTCCTTCCTTCACAGTGACCATGGTGCTGTCTGGTCTGGAATATCCCTTTGGCCAGTTCAGGCCATCTGTCCTGGCTTGTGTCTCCTCCCTGTCCCCCATGCACCCCCAGACTCCTCAGTGGTGTGGAGAAGCAGAAAAGCCTTGGCTCTGTGTAAGCCCTGCTCAGCAGTAACAAAAACAACTCTGTATTAACCCTGTACTCAGCACAAATCCAAAACACAGCCCTAACCAGACACTGGGAAGAAAACTAACTCTGCCCCAGCCAAAACCAGCACAATCATTGATTACTATATCTTGTAGCTCTTCACTAGAATTAAAGGATGCATGAAGTGAAGCACAGTGTGAACATAACGCGGAGACAGCACATGCTGGACTTTGCATTACTCAGTCCAATAAGTAACTGAACAGAAAATTTTTAAACTTTTGTCTTCAGCAATTGCCAACAAAATGGGGCTTTCACAAGGCAAAGGTCAAAGCCAGCTTACTCATTAACAGATTTATCTGTTCCCTCAGAGGTAAGTATAAACACCTCTTGCTACTATAAGATTCCCCTCTCTGTATCAGGCCAACAGAGTAATAATGATCATAAAGCGAATGGAAACTGGTTTCTGAAGTCTGAGTTGGTAGAGGGGGGTTTTTCTGTTATCTATGCCATGTCAATGAGCACAACTGCAACAGCTCCAGCTGCAATTCCATGACTGCAGCTTTTAAATGATAGCTAAGAGACATTTTCACAAACCACAGCTGAAACTTTAAAAGCTGCCTGATTCATCCAGTGCTGTGTCCAGTGAAGTAATGAAGGTAACTGAAACGAAGGGAAGTTCTGGAAGGGGAAAGTGCAGAATGTCCATGTGGGTGGGTGAATGCCAAGGAGTACTTTGTGGGAAGAGAAGGGCAGTCAAGAGGTAAAGGATAATGCATATAAGAGTTTATATACTATAGGAGTGAGTTGTCAGCAAAGGCTTTGAACTTAAAATCATAAAATAATTTCATTGGGAAAGACTTTTGAGACAGAGTCCAACCATTAGCATGGCACTGCTGAATCTACCACTACACTGGGTCCTCAAATGCCACATCCACATCTTTTAAATACTTCCAGGAATGGCAACGCCAACACTTCCCTTGGGAGCCTGTTTCAGGGCTTGACTTTTTTAGTGAAGAAACTTCCTAACATACAATCTCAACCTTTCCTAATGCAACCTGAGGCTATTTCCTCTTGTCCTATTGCTTGTTACTTGGGAGAAGGGACCAACAGCTTACAACCTCCTGTCATGTAGTTGTAGAGTGATAAGGTCTCCCCTTCTCCAGGCTAACCCCTCAGTCACTCCTAGGACTTCTGCTCCAGACTCTTTATCAACTTTGCAGCTTCCTGCACCTGCTTCAAATGAGCAACTCAGCTGACCAGCAGTCAATACAGAAGTAATGTCTGCACTAGAAAGATTTAGGCTATTTTAGGCTCATTGCTTTTTGGCTTCTCTTTTTTTTTGTTCAGTTTGTGTGCGGGTGTTTTTCTGATGTTGTGTGGCGTTAGTTTGTTTTTCTTTAAATGTATGACATTCACTAATGTGCTAAATGAGTAGGAAACTGTGAATTAATGGACACAAGATTAGCTTTGCTTGTTTAAGAAGCCAAAATCCACAGACTTTTAGAACAAACCAGGTATTTATTTAACCAAAATAATTTGCAAAAATTAAAAACAGAAGCTACACAAATGGCTTTAACAAAGGCGCACGTTCTCCCCCAGATAAAACTATAATTGACACCATACTTTAAAAAACAACCAAAAAATGGGTTTAGGACTTCCACAGGAAGATTTTTTTAAACAAATTTGCCAGTTTATACCACTGAGCACAAGAACTAGCTGCAAATGTGAAACATGCTCATTTCCTTACTTCTTTATGAAAGCCTACTAAAGCTACAACTATTCACCTGCATTACACTCTAGAACATGTTAAAATTCACTGGAAGAACACAAGGGATTTGAACAAGGCCTTAAGGAAAGTCAGCATCAAGGACCAGTAAGCGTAAGTGACATCTCTGAAAGATCTGGAAGACTACTTAGAAGCCACATTTGCACATTAAAACACACATTCTGCATTGGACTCTGATGACTCTTCTAGGACTTTGAAGACACCCATTTTTTCCTTTTTCATTTTTTCAGAGGTCTTCATTTGATCTAAGATTTAAACAAATCAAAGGTCAACAATAACAGGTGTAGTAGAAAAGAGATTTGAAAAACAAGTTGAAAAAAACATTTTGCAGACTTATCACGCTGATAAAACCATATTGCTCCTTCATTCACCATATTGCTTCAAACAGCTGGCTACTACAAGTTTGTGCTTGAAAATATTTTTCAGCTGTAGGTTTTTAGAAAAAAATTCCAATGTCTCTGGCTAAATGTGAATGAAGAAAAGCAGTTTTAAAAGCTGCCTGAACTAGTCTCATTTTCCT